TGTAAGGTTTGAATTTGGTGTTTGCTTGGAATGAACGAATATATTTTTCGAATTCGGTAGTTATCTATATTTCAATTATTTCCGCACTATTGACTTTTCAAGGTTGACAGTTTGTAGCTTTTAGAAAGTAAATAAAGTTCCAGTTTGGAACCCTTGCGTTATAGAAAAAATATTATTATTATTTTGTTGATTAACTGGAGCGTGAACTCGGTCTATACTTCTTGGAAAATGAATTCGCATATCCTTTGAATTAAGACTGTTCCATAACATGTTGTTTTCTACATGTTTGCAAAACCTTGTGTGTTTCGTAGCAGATGCAATTCCTGGTTGACCTGTCGCTTCTCGATATCAGAACATCGACTTTACCTCCGTCTACAAACTTTACAAGTGGAACAAATATACTCTTTAGTCGAGAGTTGTATTGTTGGTGACTGCGTAGCCGATGTTGTCCTGCTAACTTATCGATGTGTAGATTCATTGTTAAGCGTCAACAGGTTCGTTTTCGTTGAGTAGAGGCCGCTTGTTATTTTGGTTGGAGAACAACAGTTTGAATGCTATGGAGCTGACACCTAATAATTCATACTCCCCGTTCCGTCTGTACGATTCATCTAAGTCTTTTGATAGTCGAAACTTTTCTTTTGGGGAGATAGATGGGCAAAAAACCACGTAAAATTCAAAAGCCTAAACTTAATTTTTAATGAAAGTCACTGTTATAAATCAACATCGTTGTGGATTGTTTGTGTATTTGTGTGTGTGTGTGTGTGTGCTCGCGCGCGGATACAGTTGATTGTTTCTTGCATGATCTGTTGAACAAATAATCTAGGTGTTTAGCATGTTATATGGTGGATGTTTTCTTTTCCTTGTTCCTGAAGGCATTTAAGTTAACTAAAATTAATATTTCTGCAGTACAAGTTGCGATAGCAATTTGATTTAACTCTGAGAGATATCTGTTGGTAGAGCATCCCAATATAGCTTTAAGACTAGCGTATCCAGTTGTTAGCTGTCACTTCTTACTAGTGTTTTTTAAAACCCCTCTTTCTTAATCGACAGTATTTGCGCCATTTAAAAATAGATTTGGCTAATTTATCTTCTCAGAATTGTAGTTACGGAGATTCAAAAGATTGACGAAGAAACAAAAAATCGTTATTGTTCAGAAGTCTTAAAACGGAGGTTAATCGAACCAGGAAAAAGTTTTTGTGTTTATGGATTGAGCGTTTATTGTTGTAACTTTTACTTTTAAGTTAGGTTTATTTAAATGCTACAACAACAAAAAACACTAGAACTAAAGTGTGTATTATCAAGTAACACATTTTTTGTTACCTGATGTTTCATAATTATTATAAAATGATCAGTACTTCACATCGAACAATGTGTACTGTCTGAAGTTGAGTACAATGGAACAACTCTTAGAAGACGTTGTATTAAATAAAATTACGCAACGTGTCGGATTTCATTTTTCAGGTGTATAAGACTAACCAAAATATTTTCCAATTGCAAAACGGTACATTACTTTGACTGCTACATACCTGTAGCCCAAAACCTGACAGCGGTGCCCCATTCTTGTCATTAGATGTGATGCACGGTCAATGCCTCAGGACTATTTCACAGACGTCTAACACACAGGAAGTGTGTGTACACTATTATTAATAACTATATTAAATTGAACTACATTTCTTTTCTTCACCTCCCCCATTTCCAACAAAGTTAAGCAGTCATGCTATTCATCTAAATAAATTTGAATACTGAGAGATGAATGGCGTGAAAAAATTAGTAATTATTTAAAATTATGAGAAATATTACCGTGATTTAAGATTATATTATCCCTAGACCAAACCTTTTAGTGATTCTGTTACCAATATCCCAATAATACTCAGATTTGTAGCAGCTTTTGTTTGTGACAAGTGCAGAGTCTTATTCGTCAACAATATTTGTCCAGATGTAAAATATCTCGTGGTAATTTTTCTCTGCGGAATTATATATACATATATGGGTCCAGTTGCCATGGTATTGCTTTCTTGTATTTCAAATATTTTTACGTAGTATATGCTTTGTACAGTTCAGTGTTGAAATATTAAAATTTCATAGGTGATTGTCATGATGTTTATATGTATGTTTGGAGCAACAAGAATTCTTGAAAGAAATACACTTTATTGTGGGGTTTCTCTGACTGTACTTAGAGTAGGAAATTATATAAAAATTTTGTTCAACAGCAGTTGTGTAATTCAAATGAAGTGGATTTTACAAATGTAGATTATTGTTGACTTTGTAACAGTGTAGGTATAGATTATTGTTGGGTTTCTTTGTAACAATGTTAGTATAGACTATTGTTGGCTTTCTTTGTAACAATGTAGGTATAGATTATTGTTGGCTTTCTTTGTAACAATGTAGGTATAGATTATTGTTGGCTTTGTAACAATGTAGGTATAGATTCTTGTTGGCTTTGTAACAGTGTAAATATAGATTATTGTTGGCTTTCTTTGCAACAATGTTAGTATAGATTATTGTTGGCTTTCTTTGTAACAATGTTGGTATAGATTATTGTTGGCTTTGAAACAATGTAAGTATAGATTATTGTTGGCTTTCTTTGAAACAATGTAAGTATAGATTATTGTTGTCCACTTTGTAATCTCACATGGGGAAGAGCAAGTCAGGTGTATATAAGAATAAAATAATTTGAAGTAAGATTTAAAAATGAATTTGTTTGTTGAAGAGTGAATATGATTTATCTTGGTGTGACAAGCTATTTATAGAGTATTACACAAAAGTATAATTAGTCAGCATGTAAATCATGTTCAATACAGCCCCAGGAATTCATAATGAATTGATATTGATACATATTAATGAATTGGAATCGTCTGCCCATTCTAAATCATAACCATCTAATTATCATAAAATAACCATAAAATAACATTTCGACCTAAGGTGCTATTAATTCCTTTTTTTTATATAGTTATTATTATACATTCTCCTTTAAGGTTTGCGGCGGCAGAGACGTATGTAAATTGATATTTATGAAGCCTTTAATGACCCAGAGTTTTTCTACTGGCCAATGTAATAGCATTCCAAGTTGTAAACTTAACTAGACCTAGTTACTAAGGTCTTAGACTGCCCTCTAGACCCAGAATAAGGCATTCAGAGTCTTTATTGCCCTGACTGGTGCACTATAAATCTTATTTCCTGAAGTTTGAAGCCTGTTATTAAGCTATGGCTATTTTTTTGATAGTTCTACCTATACTATAACATCTTATCTCTAATAATGTTTTTCTTGTTGCTTATGTAATGTTGAATTGATTTTACTTGTACTATGCAATAGAGTTCTCAAATTTATTTGCATTTTCAGCTTTTACCTATTGATCTCTTTTTGTGTGTGTGATATTTTAAGTATCTCTAGTTGTGTATGTTATATTTGTGAAGATTCTGGTTTTTAAACAAGTCAGTGTAATATATCAATTGATGATGTACTTGCCTCAATTTCACAATTTTCTATTCCTATTGAGCACAAGCAGTCAGGCTGCATATTAAATCATTTTTCTGGTTGATAGGGTGAGCTTGAACAACAACTTCTGCAGGCTAACCCTGTTTTGGAAGCTTTTGGAAATGCAAAGACTGTTAAAAATGACAACTCCTCAAGATTTGTAAGTAAAATATATTGCTTATTTAAAAGTGTTTTCATTATTATTATTTTTTGTAAGTTTAGTTAAGTTATTGATCATCATGTATATATAAAAATATATATTGTTTTTCTCAATAAAAGTAACAACAGATATTTTCCCAGTAATGATAACTTCCTTTATAGTCCTAACTAATTTTTTATAACTTCAGTATAGGTGCTGTTGAAGCATGTGTACACCCTCCATAGTGATTTTTCCCAATCGTATTACATACAGCTAAAACACATACCTACAACTTATTATATGTATTTATAAATTAATGAATAAGATTACTAAGACTTTTCATCACGTCGGTACTCGTATAATTTATTGCAGATCAGGGCTGGCTTGAGCTGGGCGTGTTACAGGTGGTACGTTTATTCTCAAAAATAATTTCATGAGCAAAAATATAATAATTTCTCGGTATAATGTTGGTGTGTAATGGATTTGTAAACCTGATGGAACTCTAGATTACATGAAAAAAATGAATAAAAATTTATTTAAATTAGGGACAGAGAATTAATATATTTTTAAGCTTCAAAACATACGTACAAAATACAGTGACTGAAATCTTAATTATTCTTCTGTAACATTTTGGTAACAGAATTACACCATCCATCAGAAGAATTTTTCTGTGACATTTTAATTAACAGGATTATGCCATCCATCCAAATAATATTTCTGTAACATTTTAATAACAAGATTACATCATCCATCCAAAGAATTCTATTGTAACATTTTGGTACCAGGATCAAACTGTCTGTCAGAAGAATTCTTGTGTAACATTTTGGCAACAGGATCACACCATCCATCCTATCTAAACAAAGAACAGTGGGGACTAGGTACAGTGTGTTCTTCTCATTATTTGTATTAGTAATTATTATGTTCAGGCCCTCTCAGAGGTTCAGAGAGGCCCAGACCACTTCTTTTTTTTGAGGCCCCTGACTATAATGAATATTAAAAATGATAACACATTAAAACAAAATAAGACAATCATTTACCCAGAAGAAAAGATAAACATGATTTGAATATTTTTTACTTCACATATCTTTATTAACATTTTTTACATATCATAAGTGCTTTTCTAGCCTTTTGTGTGCATAAAAACAAGTTGTGAAACTAAACCAATGCAAAACAGTAACAGTGTCTAAATTTGAAGCCCAGGGCAAATGGCTTCCTCCCCCTAATTGGCCCTAGTTATGTTTGCTGAAAGTAATTTCCTAAAATACGTGATTTCACCTTTATATCCATTTCTTTCTCTTTAAACTGTCTTACTGTAGAGTACTTTGGTAATTATTACTGTAGTTCAAATACTTTCTAACACTGAAGGCCTTCTGCCTTAGCAGCTTCAACAATGTATATGTACTTCTGCCTTAGCAGCTTCAACAATGTATATGTACTTCTGCCTTAGCAGCTTCAACAATGTATATGTACTTTTGCCTCAGCAGCTTCAACAATGTATATGTACTTTTGCCTCAGCAGCTTCAACAATGTATATGTACTTTTGCCTTAGCAGCTTCAACAATGTATATGTACTTCTGCCTTAGCAGCTTCAACAATGTATATGTACTTCTGCCTTAGCAACTTGAACAATGTATATGTACTTCTGCCTTAGCAGCTTCAGCAATGTATATGTACTTCTGCCTCAGCAGCTTCAGCAATGTATATGTACTTCTGCCTCAGCAGCTTCAGCAATGTATATGTACTTCTGCCTTAGCAGCTTCAACAATGTATATGTACTTCTGCCTCAGCAGCTTCAGCAATGTATATGTACTTCTGTCTTAGCAGCTTCAGCAATGTACATGTACTTCTGCCTTAGCAGCTTCAGCAACGTATATGTACTTCTGCCTTAGCAGCCTCAGCAATGTATATGTACATCTAAAAATATGTACCCAAGAAAAATAATATTGTTCCTGGTCTGCAGGCATAACGATTGAATGTCGGGCTTGAACTAATAAAGTAAACCAATAATTTGTATATATGTGCATAATTTATTTCATACCTACTTTATTCCACTTAACAGAAATGGTGTTACAATGAATTTTCTTTATTACTTTTACTAATCCTTCTCTACAGCCTCAGTGTTTGTTGATACTCTGAATGCTCTTGATAGACCACATTAGAAGTTCTTCCACCGTCCTGGGCCAAAATAAAGAAAGTTTTTGGTGATCCTGCTCTTGAACACCCAACATAGAATTGACCATGTAGAAACCAAGGCAATTTCAGATGTAGCCCTGCCACCTTAAGGGTCTGGCCTTGTGCTTTAGTTGCTATTTTTCCTGGCCAAAATGTAAATATTTTACATTTTTAATTAAAAAAACCTCAAAACAAAAAAATTTAGGAATAAAAATTGGTCCAAAACTGTGGAGTTATCAGCTAAACAAACATATTTTTGCTTTGGATATGGCCCAGGGTGGGTGGGACTGGGTAATAACCATCCTGTGAACCCCTTGATCCAGTGTATCATCCTACCAAGTTTAGTTGAGATTGGTCTGAAGACCACGGAGGAGTTGGCATACAAAGAAATGTTTTACTTTTATAAGTTTAGGTAGTCAGCCAGAATTTTGGAAACTTGAGATATATAATGGGTACTCATAATTTATATGTGACCTTTAAAATGTGTTGTTGAATTTTGTGATTTTTATACTTAAAAAATATACATAATCAAGAAATATACTTCTACCAATGAGCACATAATGTATTAGGCTGTTTCAAGTTTTTTTTATTAGGTTTTAAATATTAGTTTGATTTAGGTATAATGACCATTATGCATTAGTATCTCCATATTCTGTTATTGTAAACCTGTATTGATTTATCGATTTTGCTTTAAAAAACACAGGGCAAGTTTATTCGTATTAATTTTGATGCCTCTGGTTTTATTGCGGGTGCCAACATTGAAACTTGTATCCTTTGGTGAAATATTATGCCTTAGCATGAAAGCTATTTTTTTAGCATGAAGGTTATAATTTAGTATGAAGGTTATGATTTAGTATTAAGATTATTTGTACAATAATTCATATCGTACAGACAGTCCAGTTATCCTTTAAGTTCAGGAATTCTTATTAAAAAAAGTCTTGTAATGTTCTTTTGCACTTTATTTCTAATTCCTATATTTTTGGGAAACAAATCCCTAAATCCAAGTATTTTCTAGAATTTTCAAATAGTTATAATGTTTTAAAAGTAAACATGTTTTTAAGACAATAGCAAATCAGTTTGTAGAAGTTCTGATCCGGAAGAGCTAAAACAATTGGAATAGAATATTAATTTTAATTTCTTATGTTTTGCATCACATTGTCCACATTGTTTGTAGAAGTTCTGATCCGGAAGAGCTAAAACAATTGGAATAGAATATTAATTTTAATTTCTTATGTTTTGCATCACATTGTACACACTCTTAACACCATCAATAGGCAATTGTTTGGATATTTGGAAGTCAGTATACATATATCTAATCCTTTGAAAGTGTAATGTACTAAATTATTAATATATATTATAACCCAAGTACCTAAACTAAATGCTATGTACATAAAATATTTCATAAAGTAAGCTGTAGTTACATTTTTCTAACATACACATACATCAGTATGTTATATTAAAAACAATCTTGAATAAGCAAATCAGCATGTAACTTGATAACCACAGTTTGTATAAAGTCATGGTGGGCACATGTATCAGAACTATATTTTGGCATTCTTTAATTATTCTGATGCCAATGAACATTTATGTTAACAGCCTTCTCTGATGCAAAGTATTTCTACACATGAATCATAAAGATGTGTTCAGATTATGGATTTAGCATTTCCAAGATTGATCCATCCCTTGTACCTGATGGCATGTGAAAACAAAGTCATGTGGTTCAACTTGGTACAAGGACCATCCAGAGAGAGATCTGGAACAAATCATACCCCAGCTGTGGTAAGCTAAGTTTGGCATCTTGTAACAGGTGTGAATCCACAAATGTAAAGGTTCATGGCAAAAGACTTTCATGTGCCCCATGCAACAGTGTGAAATGTAATCAAGACGATCTCCATCTGGAAAAGTGACACACACACAAATCATGTGTGCACGAGATACTTTAATGACATGTCTGTTCAACCATTCCAAATCTCAAGCAGCTGGAGAATGAAGTAGGTATTCATGTTGTTCCACACGAAGATATACTGGTCAAGTTGTTGGATATGGCACCTATGGATTTCTGTATGATCAAACTCTTGAAAGTGACTTTATACACCAGATAGATTATGTAAAGCATGGAGGGAGGAGTGACGTACTTTGAATGTGGTAACTTTATGGCGGAGCCTTTTGCAATAGAAAATGATGCTGCAGATCTATTGTCAAATTGTGAAGTCCAGACAGAGCTTGACCAGACATGGATACATGGACTGTAACAATGGTGTAGGGCTCCAAAATCAGTTTGATATATCATATCCAACCTCTGTATAATTAGTTTGAAATTCAGCAGTTCTAATAAACCTAATGTAATTTGGTTATTGGTAACTCACATATTCACTTCAGAAATTAAGGAAAATTCATTTAATTTCAAAGTATTTGAATTAAAATGACTACTAATACTGATTTAGGGAACTTCATCTATAATTTTACTGTCTGTAAGACACAAACGTTGAAGCCCACATCTTGGTAAGTATTTATAGATTAGAAGTATTAACTTTTCACAAGTATTGAATAAATGTAGCTAACCTGCTGGAAACTAATTTTACTACTTGATTAACGTTAGAGATTTCTTAGAATATTCTAGTGCTTAATAGGAAAGATATTGCCTACTAATTAATTGACATAAATTCCTATTTTGCGAGTATCTTATCTTTTACAGTAAAAATAAAAAGTACAACTGATACTGTAAGTTTTGAGATTTTGATATGCATATTCTGTTTAAAAACTTTTGTATTAACTTGCATATTCTGAGAAAAAGTGCCTTTGTTTACTGAATCAAGTCTTGTGCATGTTACCATAATGTTAAAACTGTACAGTGTAAAGTGTATTAATCATCACCTATGTATGTTTGATACCTTAAGTCAATGATTAAGATCTTTTGGAAAAATCTCGAGCCATTCGTCAAGCAAAGGATGAACGTACCTTCCACATTTTTTATCAGTTATTTAATGGTGCTTCCTCAGAACAGAAAAGTAAGTTCTTTATAAGCAGTATTGCATAAAAGTATTTATGTTTCCATCATTAGTCCTAATCTACTTGTCGTCAAAATGTTTGTTAATATAAATAGTATCTCAACCATTACTATGTCTGTCGTATTTCAACCGGCCTGAAGAGCTCTAGTATTGGGCAAAAAGCCTCTTCGGCACTAGATATAGCAGATATGATGTGGTTCATATATTATTACATACTTGTTTACTTTCACTCAGAAGGTCTTAATAATTATACCCAACAAAACTAAGTTATCTGTAACAAACATAAACCTGTAAAAGGTGTTTACATTTTTTATATATATCTACATATATGATCTACATGTAAAAAGTAAAAATTTGAACAAAAATTTACATTCTCTGGGTTAGTATTGTCAGTCTTAATCTAAGTATGTGTGTATATATCCAGTTAAAGTGTATAATCCACAAATAGATATCACAAATTATTTACATTCGGTGTTGTTATACAAGAGAGGCTACCCATAATAATAATGTGTAAAATATGTGTTTGTGTTTTGTGTGAAAGTTTTTTGTTCTAGTCCAATTTTTTCTATCTTATTTATTGAAAATAAAAGTAGTCAATTTTTCAAAAGTTTGTATTTTATGTCATATTTGTTATTAATACCTAATAATAATAAGATATATGGAACAAATAATTTGTAAATTATTTTTCTTTTCCACGTTGTTGTTTGCTTTAATTTCCAGGTGTAAGTCCTTACCTGATGAATTAAAATGTTATTGAAAGAATATTACATTACAATAAATTAATAAATGTGAGATAATGGTAAAGATACTTAAATATTACAGAAGGAAGAAAGTTTCTGTTGATGCTTCTTTTGCATTCAGTTATATTAAAAGTTTTTATTATATTATTCGGTTGTGTTATTATGGTGAATATTGTGTGTAGGAATTTAGATATCGAGCAAATCCTTGTTCTTCTTTAAGCTACTTAAATATTACAGAAGGAAGAAAGTTTCTGTTGATGCTTCTTTTGCATTCAGTTATATTAAAAGTTTTTATTATATTATTTGGTTGTGTTATTATGGTGAATATTGTGTGTAGGAATTTAGATATCGAGCAAATCCTTGTTCTTCCCTTGTTAAAACTTGGAATGTTTTCATTTTTGTGCAATAGAAATGTTGGGATCTCAGTGTAATAAGGTGACTTGTTTTATTGTTGTAAACAGAGGAATATCTTCTGGAAGACATGAAGAATTATACATTCCTTAGCAATGGGAATGTCCAAGTTCCAGGAATTGTTGAAAGCCAAGAATTCAAAAACACTGTTAAAGCCATGGATATCATGGGCTTGACACAAGATGACCTAAGTGGTGAGTTGTATATTTCAATTGCTTTAGATGAGGTTTTTTACTATCGTATTGTGTTCTAATTTTGATTCAAATAAATAGAAAATATTTTCATTATTTTTTTTCCAATGATACAAAAAAAAAAGACTCGGTAGGAGAGCAAGGATTATTCTTTCAGTTCCTCTTTATATTTTGTGTTAAATGGCAAATAAAAAAGTCTGTATTTAAAAATTATGGTTTTATAATTCCTTCTAAGATATAATTTATTAACAGAAATTACACATTAAAGAACTGCTTGATAAACTTTTATATACTTAGATACAATACTCAAAATAATATTTTATTTTATATTTTAACAACATTTCTCAATGATATGTTTAAGTTGACAAAATGACTGTGTTTTTTGCTTCAATGTGTCAGTGAAAAACTCGTGATTGCTCGTATGTACATTAAGTAGATATAAAGCAACCATAAAACAAAAAAAAGTTAGAATATTAGTTTTTTTTTTCTGCAGGTAAAGAAGGAAATGTAATTTTGTGTGTAACTTTTTTTTATGTAGCCATATTCCGAGTAGTTTCTTCTGTGGTGTTATTTGGGAACATGAAGTTTAAACAAGAAAGAAATTCAGATCAAGCAACACTGCCTGACAACACTGTTGCCCAGAAAGTCAGCCATTTGCTGGGTCTCAATGTCACAGAGATGACAAAAGCTTTCCTAAAGCCTCGACTGAAAGTTGGACGTGACTATGTAACCAAGGCTCAGACCAAAGAGCAGGTAAAATACAAAATATTACACTTATATTAAATTATAGAACATATTGAAGATGGTAGACCTGAAACCCAAAGGTTTTAAAGTGAAGAGGCTTAAAATTGCTGAATCTTAGAATAAAAATGCAAGATTGTGATACTGAGTATTAAACTAAAGAGAAGACACTCCTCAGAATTAAAGGTGCCAAATTTCAGTTTATTGGTGAAACTGTTGTTACGGTTTAAAATTATTGAATCTCAGAATGAAAAGATGGATAATTTACAACGTTAAATGGCACTAAATTTTAGATTTTAGGTTAAGCTGTTGTAAAGGTTTAAAATTATTGAATCTCAGAATGAAAAGATGGATAATTTACAACGTTAAATGGCACTAAATTTTAGATTTTAGGTTAAACTGTTGTAAAGGTTTAAAATTATTGAATCTCAGAATGAAAAGATGGATAATTTACAAGATTAAATGGCACTAAATTTTAGATTTTAGGTTATAGCATGTAAGACTAGAAGTAGTACAATAAATGCTGTTTTTTACTGAACATATATTTATGAATTACTATCATTTGTTGCTTTTTCTTAAATGTTTGACATAGGAGTCAGCACAGCGACTAACATATTTTTTGGATAGTTTGGTTCCATTTGCATCATTGCAAGGAATATTTAATTTTATGTTTTACATCTGAGAGAATATTTTTAACTAAACATTTTAGGTTAAAAATAAAGTTTGAAGATGGCTTGAATTGGTGGTGAAAGAAACTTTATTACAAATGTACAAAGTTGTGACAAGCTTATGTCATTATCAGGAAATCAAAACATGAATAAAATCAGAGTGTTTGGTAGGCATCATTAAGATAATAATTATTAGTTATCTGCTATTTTGCAGATGTCAAAGCATTAAACTTTTATAAAGTTTACTTTTAGTATTGAATTTAAATTAATATTTTCTAATTCTGTACTTTTTGTTTTACTTGCTTTATATTTTTATAAGGTTAACAGGTTTAAGGTAATTTTGATTAAATAATATTTGTTTTCTTTAAGTTTTAAATTTGCATGATGCTAGTATTGTAATTTTTTTGGTGTTTTTGATTTTCAGTTAGTTTTTATAACTTGTTTTCTTTCTTGAAGGTGGAATTTGCAGTGGAAGCTATAGCTAAAGCATGCTATGAACGAATGTTCCGCTGGCTAGTTAACAGAATAAATCGATCACTTGATCGGACCAAGAGACAAGGGGCATCCTTCATTGGAATTTTGGACATTGCAGGATTTGAAATTTTTGAGGTAAGAAATCAAGGCATACACTTCAGATCTTCATTATCTATATAATCCTAGTTTAAGCAATAATGAGAGTCTCTCTTACAACATAGGATTTTGTATCTCCTTCCAAACTAGAACAGAAAGCAAAACATGAATGTTTTGTATTTTACAAGTTCATTATTTTATAAATAAGAATAAGATGTTATCAGATGTTTAGGTTTACCTTGTTGATAGTAAAATAAGTTTTTTTAAAAAAAGAAACAATAATATGCTTGTTTCAGAGATCGGAGGATAGATAGATATCTTAGGACACATTTTATTGTACAATTCTGTTGTGTGATTCTAAAGAAAAGTATGAATGCTTTACAAGTATCTGTTGTGTCAGTAACGAGGATGTGGATGTAGCGGGGCATGATGTATTCTGTCATTGATACATGGTGGGAATTGTTTGGCTATGTTGATCAGCAGGATATAAATATTGTATTATTGTATTTTGCTTCACTAGAAAACAGATCATATAAACTTCACTAAATCTGTTGATTTCACTTGCTTAAACTTTAGATTAATTCCTTTGAACAACTGTGTATCAACTACACCAATGAAAAGTTGCAACAACTCTTCAATCACACCATGTTCATCCTGGAACAAGAAGAATATCAAAGAGAAGGAATTGAGTGGAAGTTTATTGACTTTGGACTAGATCTCCAACCTACGATAGATCTTATTGAAAAGGTACATATTATGTCTTTGAAAAAAGGATGTATTTTTTCATGATTGTTAAGATTATAAGATGAACACAAATTTCAAATGTGTTTTTTATCATGAATATTTTATACTTTTGTATGGTTTTAAATCATTTTTTTTAACTTATTAGCTTGTTCCTTTTTTAAAAATTAGATCTGAACCCTAACGGTTATTGCCTTGTTCATTTAACTGACATTGATACTACACCAAAGATTGTAGAATTTCTTGAGTATTTGCTTTGTATGTAGATCAACATCTTAATCTGATATATGTTCATGGTATATGCTATTACTGTGGGGCATTTATTACTGTACATTTATAATGGTTATTTTTTACAAAAAAACGAATTATTTTTTCAGATTTTCCCTATTAGTATAAATGTATAAAAGTCAAAAATGGTATATTTTTTCATAAAATGTTAGAATAAAAATTTAACTGATAATATACAGCGTGCCTTCAGATTTTTAATTTTTTTCTTACAGCCTATGGGAATCTTTGCCTTAGTGGATGAGGAATGTTGGTTCCCAAAAGCCACAGATAAGACCTATGTGGAAAAACTTATCAATTCTCACAACACCCACCCCAAGTTTGTGAAAACTGATTTCCGTGGAACAGCTGATTTCAGTGTCATACATTATGCTGGCAAGGTAAAGTTGGTGTATCTTTATCATAACTGAAATCACCATTCTCTAATATGCAACTGATATTGATTATTAAATTATATCTTCTTAGCTACATGTACTCTTCAGTTATATTTTCCATTCAAAATATATCCTATTTCTTAAGTCTGCTCAGCTTCTTCTATAATATCAGTCATAAATTGATTTTGGGTAAAAAAAAAAAATCATTTTCTTTGGGGGGGGAAGCAAATATAATTTTTCTAGATATTCGTATTTGCAGCTTCATTTTTTTTAACACCGTGCATTAAACATTTCTAGAAATGATTTCTTTAGTGAAATATTTATAACAAGTTTTTATATATATGCTACAAAATAGGTGGACTACTCTTCCAATAAATGGCTGATGAAGAACATGGATCCTTTGAATGAGAATGTTGTGTCATTATTACAGTGTGCTCAGGATCCATTTATTGTACAGATTTGGAAGGATGGTAAGTTCTTTTGAAAGGTCTTTCTTTTTCTCATAATTTATTTATGTAATAGCTAGTAGTATATCAGTTTTTCATTTGAATACAAGCTTATATTATCCAACCTAAATTTGATTTGTGTGCTGTATAAACTGAAATGAAGTCTTGTTGTTTTTGTCCTATCTTTAGCTGAGATTGTAGGAATGGGAGCAGCCACTATGTCTGATACTGTGTTTGGATCACGGACCAGAAAAGGAATGTTCAGAACAGTCAGCCAACTTTACAAGGACCAACTGGCTAAGTTGATGGTCACGTTACGAAACACCAATCCTAATTTTGTCCGATGTATTATCCCCAATCTTGAGAAAAGGGTAATTTTTAGTTACTATTTTGTTTTCATATGAACAATGTAACGATAAAGTTATTTTCACAGAACAATTTGTGAGGTTTCTCACAACAAGATTTATTAATGTTTTTTTTTTTTCTGAGCATTTTCTTATTAGTAATCTGACACTGAAATCTTTAGAAGTTATAAGCTATAAATATGAAATTTAATGACTATCAGTTAAGTTCTATCTCATCCATATCTTAACACTCCTTTATGATCCCAGATTTAACCAAAGTTGTGTTTATTGTTCTACCAGGCTGGTAAGATTGAAGCACTTCTGGTGTTGGATCAATTACGCTGCAATGGGGTTCTAGAAGGAATTAGGATCTGTCGTCAGGGCTTTCCCAACAGGATTCCCTTCCAGGAGTTCAGACAGAGGTGAAATTATGTCTATCTGTCTGTTTAGTTTTTAAAAAATTTTACTTGTGATTCTAAAAATATTTAAGAGTTGCTTGTTTTTAATTCCTTTTGATCTTATGATGCTGGACATGTTTTTGTCTGTCGTGATACATATATATAAGCATGGAATGAAGTTTATTATGGCAGTGCTTAGAAACAGAACAATTGGAGGATTGGTTCTTTATGTAATGCCCTTATTATGTTTATTCATTATGAATAAAAAGGTAACATTTCATGCTCACACATCTATCATTATTTCTTCATTTACTTCAAGGAAAGATGAGTAGAAAGTAAATGTTTTTATTATAAAGTCATAAGATATCATAAACAGTTTTAGTTATTGTTACTGTAGTTGTCATAAAAAATGCACTGCACTTTAAAGATGCTATAATATAGATTTGTGAACTAAATAATATTTTATATATAACATAATCTTTTCTTTCAGGTATGAGCTCCTTACTCCTAATGCCATACCTAAAGGCTTTATGGATGGAAAATTGGCTTGTGAAAAGATGGTGAGTGAAAGTAAAATAATCAGCATTTTACTTTTAGTCTTTCAGAGTTTGAAACCTTCAGTATATTAAACTTGATACTTTAAAGTTCAAAGAAAGTGATTTATATCTTTGTATACATTTTTGAAGTATTACATATGTGGAAATGTTGATTAGTAAAATGCTGGGGAACTGGTAGAACTTTACTTTTAATACTTTTTGAGTATTTGGAATTATAATGTATAATTTCCTTTAAACTGATAGGAAATTATGTTTAAAATATTCCACGTGTTTGGATTTGATTTACCTAGAAAATAGGTAATTAAACTTTAGATTTTAAATGTATACCGTAATCAAATCCTTTTTTTATAATAAAGTTTTTTAATAAAATATAATATCTAATGAATACAAAACATTTAGAAATAATTTTATTTTTTTCACTACTTGCTGGGAGAATGTATCAGCCTTTTTTTTAACCATATAAAAAATTAATCCCCATTAGAACTGGATAATTTGTGGAAGTTGCTTATTGATTAATTATTGTGTTAATTAGTCATTTACATTTGACTAAATTATTATTCACACATGAAAGTTGGATTATTCTAATAATTGAAAATGATAATAATAAGTTCATTAATTGTGATTGATTATTTCTGTAATTCATTTCACTAATTGATTAAGCTGAAAAATCTTGAATTAATTAAAAATGATAATGAGAAATCATAATGATAATATTTTGATTACGTGGATAGTTGAAGTAGTCGAAAACACTAATTTTGATTAGTTGATTATTTTCATTACAGTAATTGAGTTAATCATAATTTTGAGAAATCGATCATTTTGTGTGAAGCTAATTGATGTAATCAATGCTAACAGGTAATCAATTAATAAAGAAATTTGCCCAGCTGTACTCCTCAGTTGCATAATTAGATATTGTTTAATATATTAATAAAAACTGTGTTTATGTGGTTAAAACAAAAGTATCTTAACTTACTTTTAGTTATTTTAATATAAGTTTTCCATAGGAAGAAAATTTTACTTTTACAGGGTGATGTTCCAGCCTTAAAAAGATATCAGTAGCTATATATTGTTAAAACCTTTTAGATAAATAACGAAAATTGTATTTCTTCTTCATCCACAGATTCAAGCCTTAGATCTTGATCCTAACCTGTACAGGGTTGGTCAGAGTAAGATCTTCTTCAGAGCTGGGGTGCTAGCACATCTGGAAGAGGAGCGAGACATGAAGATTTCTGATTTGATCATTCAGTTCCAGGCGTTCTGTCGTGGCCTTATTGCTCGAAGGTAACTGTCAAGTTTTAAAGGTTTTCTACTCTGGTCTGGTCAATTTTTATTCTACTTTATGTCATAATTTAATTCCAAGCATTTTATTTTGGGATTTTATGTTAAAATGTAAGATAGTTTCTTGCTATCTTACACGTGGACATTCTGTTACAATGTGAGCTAGTTTCCTGCTATCTTACATGTAGACATTCTATTACAATGTGAGCTAGTTTCCTGTATCTTACATGCTGATTTAATTCTAAAGTAGTTTTGTGTAGATTTTTTGTCCAAAGGTTCGATTTGTTGCAGACTTTTTGTTTTTGAAGCAGTTTTTAAACTCTTTGAATTAGCCATATTTTAATCAAAACCTTTTATGTTTTAAAGTTTTCTTATTTCAAAGTAAGATTCCTGGTGAGGCTTCTGTTCTTCCTTAGTGCTTTGGTGACACATTTTTTTATTTTCTGTCTCTCATATGTATAACATACATGTAATCATACAATATTATATATATATTATTGATAGAATGAAGTGATGCCATAAATGTTAAGTAAAATATATATTTAATAGAGGAAGATGTGTTAAACTGTTCTCTGTTCTGTAACCTTATACTTTTGTAGTTATTTATCTTTCATATGCTTAGTTATTCATCAGTTTTACTTTATAATGGTATATTTTTGGTAATGTTATTAACATCTAGTCATAAGATTTTTAGAAAAATACTTTAAAAAAGTTAAATGCAAACACTAACCATTATGAAGTTTTGTGTACAGTAACAATCAGATTGAAAACCTTTTCATTGTAACATGTTATAAAAATATTCAGTTAGAATTTTTTTGTCTCGGTGAAAGTGCTGATGCATCAACACAGTACATCTTACTTTTGTATTTTTCTTTGCAGTTTGATTGATATACTGATATTTTTTGTTTTAGAAACTACCAGAAGCGACTACAGCAGTTGAATGCTATTCGTATCATTCAAAGAAACTGTGCTGCCTATCTTAAGTTGAGAGACTGGGCTTGGTGGAGACTATATACTAAGGTTAGTTATTAAATGCAAAGTTGAAGACTAAGGTGAAATTTTGTTTTATAGACAAAGTCCATCTTGGTTAATAAGTATCAACTAAATAAAGGATGAATTTGTCAGAGACCTAAAACTAAATTATATGATAGCATAATTTGTAGACAAGACAGACTGCACACTTAACTTTATATCAGTTTTCATACTATGATTGCCTTTTGAACACATTCTTGTAAATGTTGTATTTATTGTTTATACATATCCTATCAGATTAATGAATAAGGCATAAGTCCCACAAAATGAAACTAACGTATTGATATTTGTGGAAATCAGGTGAAACCTCTCCTTCAAGTTACTAAACAAGAAGAGAAGCTTACTGAAAAAGAAGATGAACTGAAGCAAGTCAAAGAGAAAATGGAAAAAGTTGAACAAGAAACAGTGGAACTTGAAAAGAAACTTCAGCAGGTAATATACTTTGACTGTAAAAGTAACAAAGATTTAATGTGGCTTTTTTCTCTTGGCTGGGTGTAGCCTAGTGTTTAAAATGCCAAACTGTGAATCTGAGGGTCCATGTTTTATGTCCGTTTGCCACAAAATCATGCTATGCACTTTGGGGCTGTGGGTGTGTTATGAGAGTGATTGTCAAATTCTACTATTTAACTGGAATTGCACAAGAGTTGGAGATGGGTGCTTTTGACTAGCTGCCTTTCCTATAGCCTATCTGTTCAAAATTAGGGACACTCTAGTGTAGTTAGTCCTTGTTTATTTTGTGCATTGCTTTCATCTTGTAATTTTCAGGCTTTCAGTCAGAATTTTAACTTTTTTTTTTTTTCACTGCAAGTCATGCATCTGTGGATTTCAGATTGGATTGTATAACATCTTTGATGATTGCTATAATTTAAAAAATTGGAATTAAAGAAAAAAATTATAAAAGAGGACTAACAAGATGAATGACAAAAACTTTCTAACCAAGTTAATATTCATGTAATTTGTGATTGAAATACATAACAAAATGGAACTTTGTGACACAAATTTTAAGTTAAAAAGTTGCAGATGTTTATATTTTGTCTAGGAAGATAGCTGTTGTGTACAAAAAATGTTTTTGTATATGCAGATAAAATTATTCTAAAAATTCATTTTATGATCTTTGATCACTTTACCTATAAAGTAATTCATGTAATTATTATTCTACACTTGAATAGTTTGACTGTTTACGGTATTAATTCTGAAAAAGAAAATACAGCATCCATTATTGAATAAGGTAAAAAAAACTCCTAAATTTCTTCATCACTTACCATATTGCCAAATCCACATTTTTGAGTGTTAAAACTAATTTTAAACAGAAAACCATCTTCATACAGTAATTCATGACACATCAAAATATCCAAGCAATACAAGTTGAGGGGGGAAGTGAAATATGGTGGTCAAAAATCAAAAGACACATGAGTATAATGAGGTAATGATATAATACTGTTAATGTGATATTATAGAGGCATTTGAACTATTTAAGAAGTGTTTCAGTTATATATCTTTGTTTTATTATTACATGTTGGAAAATGAAATGAATTTTACTTCATATGGGGATACCTTTAGGGTCATAATGATTATTGAATTTGTTTAGTCATTTTTTATATTGATTTTTAAATCTTTTTTTTTTTATGGTTCCAAATAATATAAAATAAATCTAGTCATTGATCTTGTTTATGCCAAAAATATAAAATTATTATTGTTATTATCCCTAAAAATAAAAAAACATAGATGAATAATATAAGGAGCGGAAGAAACAAATAGACCAAGGAAGTACAATTAGAAATTGGTTATTTTTATGTGATTATGCAAATATCATTTTCTGTACACAAAGCTACACATGTAGACAAAATGTAAATGTTGAGCCCCTTAACCTGAAATTTGGGTAAAAAAATTCTGATTTTTATATGTTTCAGTGACATACTACTTGAATACTAACTCTGATATTAACTTTCGATCATTAGTCATAGCAATCTTTCTTTTAAATTCTTACAGTTATAAATGTTAAATGTTATTTTACATTTTTGAATATATATCAGTCTTGAATTATTTTAAAATATGAATGTTATACTAAAATAAATGTACAAGAAGTCATTGTGATTACTAAATAACCGTAGTTAGTAAGTTTTCTTCTTGTGAAGAACTTAGAGTGGAATCTAGTCTGAAATTCTTGAGTTTTATACAATTACCTGTTTATGTTTGATTGTGATTTCCTTTTGTTTGTTCTACTTATCCTGAGATTTTTATGTAGTTAACTGATTGATATTTGTATATTTCTCAAGCCAGTGCTAACCATTAATTTAAGTTAAACTATAGTGTTTAAAGAAACTCTTTATGGCTTCATTAGCTTGATGGTGAGAAGAATATGTTGGCAGAGCAACTCCAGGCAGAAACCGAGTTGTGCGCTGAAGCTGAGGAGAGCAGATTAAGGCTTGCCTCAAGAAAACAAGAGCTGGAGGAGATCCTTCATGACCTAGAAGCTAGAATAGAGGAGGAAGAAGAGCGAAACCAAAACCTTACAGTTGAAAAAAAGAAACTGCAACTGAACATTCAAGATTTAGAAGAACAGTAGGCAGAACTATATATGAAAATTGTTTTTAAATTAAAAACATTTAAAATAGAAAAATAACTAGACTTACTAAAGGCTTTCATATATCTCAGTAATGCACATTATAAATATAAAATAAGAATATAATATTCTATTCTGATGGGGTGGTTTATAGCATATGTAGGTGTAGTTAAACTCTATAAAATATATATAAAGAGTTATTAAAGTATTTATTCGGCAAAGCTACTTGGTTCATATTTATCAACATTCACATAATCTAGGCATTATCTTAAATATTTAAACTTAGCTATTGATAAGTGATGACAAAAAACATTATAAATAACAACAACAATAATATACCCAGAATAACTTATTCAAACATTTAAATTGGTTTGTAAGTATAAAGTATGTGTTGTATCTCTCTTCTGTTTTTTAGAGGTTCCCTAAATGTTATTCAATAAAAATTTATTTTATATTTTTTACTTTTAAAATGTTTGAAGAAAAAAAACGATCAAACCTTTAAAAAATCTGGATATAAATTATTTTGCTGAAATTAACCAAGAAGATGTTAAACATTTTAATAGATTAGAGGAAGAAGAAGCATCACGTCAGAAGTTGCAACTGGAGAAGGTGAGCCTGGATTCTAAGATGAAAAAACTTGAAGAAGATTTAGCTTTGATGGAAGACACCAACCAAAAGGTGAGACCCGAACAATTGCAGAGAGACTAAAAAATTTTAAACTCGCTTATGGTATGAGGCATCAAATTAATGATATTCTTACGCTTTAAACAGATCTTAAGAGTCACCATAAATTCTCTTAATGATATCAGTCACAAGTTTTAACCTTTAAGTACTTCTAAGTTTTTGTTGATTGTGCAGTTTAAAGAATATTGGTATAACTAAACAGTTTTATGATGTATAAAGACGTATTTATGAGTAAATATGTTTTTAAAGTTTATTGACTTAAATGACTGAGATATATTTTATTCTCTAACAAACAGCCTACTGTTATAAAGATATAAATACGAAGCAATTTTATACAAGTATCCTATATAGTATACCAGAAATATTTCCTTGGTTTTAAAGTATGTCATAAGAGAAACTTGTAAAAGAAAATGAATGAACATTTGTCTTTAATGATATAATCCAGAACACCAACTTATTTCTAGAGTGAACTAACAGAATTGTTTTAATCTTCAATTATTTCAATATACTTCAATGTTAGCAAAAATAAATACACATGCATACCTATAATTTAAGAACAACAAAGGACCTGTTGATCCATCTATATGCTGTCCCATACATAGGAGAGGTTAGAATAATGCAACTGAGTAGCTGTGATTTTTACTTCCTTTAATAAAAAAAGCATATATTGTAAAGGTTTTAACTGATGGTTGTTTGCTGTTCTATAAGTCCTTAAATGAATCCATAAAATGAGTAAATATTATTTCTACCATTTGCATCTCTGCCTTTAATTTTATATATATATATATATATATTTGTTAAATTTTTTCTTTGATTTTTTTTTCATTGGAAAGGGGATCTAGTATCCCCCCCCCCATCCCATTACTGGAACCATAAAATCTTTACAGTTGTCATTACTTCTGTCAAATACTACATATTACGGTCATGAACTGTAGAATTAAGTGAAATCTGTAGAAAGAAACGTAGAACTACTGTTTATTCAATTATGTAATTCACATTTGAATTAATTTTCATGTTTATTGTGGGAAGGATAACATAAGTTCTAATTTATATAAAATCAAAATAATATTTTATCAGTTTTTGAAAGTAGAATTATGTTGGAGTTATTAAATCTTTCACATTTCCAAGTGATGTGCTGTTGAGTTTGCCTTTCTAGTTCCTTATGTTACTTTTTTTTTTCGATACCTTTGGTGACTAACATACAGAACTTAAAGTAACAGTTACTCAACAAGAGATTTATTTGTAATTGAACTACTATCACTTTTGGTTCAATCTTGTGTATCGATGTAACGTTTTTTTATGGTTCTAAAAATCAGTTCAATTTGTAGACTTGAAGATCACATGTGCTCTGTTTGGTTAATATGTCTATTTTCTGAAAACATGCTTAGTTTTTTATTAACACATGTTTACTTGCTGGAAGAGAGAATTTTGTTACATTGATTATTATTCAGCTGTATTTGAAGCTGGAGTAGAGATATATATGATTTATTTTGTTACTTTTAACTTGCAGTTATCTAAGGAGAAGAAAGCTTTTGAAGATAGACTGGGTGAACTTTCTCAAGGCCTTGCTGAAGAAGAAGAAAAGTCTAAGCACCTGGGTAAACTGAAGTCCAAATATGAAGCAATTATTGCGGACTTAGAGGAGCGTCTTCGAAAGGAACAACAGGTATGTTCTCATGGTCTAAAACACCATTAACAGCAAGTGTCCCCAGCTAATGAATCAGTGCAGTTTAGTCACTATGAACTTTGAACCTTGTTACTAGATTCTGTTGTAAATCGATTTTTGATGTCAACTCATCTTTATTAATGAGTATGATAATTATTACTTTTTAAAGTATACACTAGTAACTAACTCAGGCATCATTTTATATTTATTGTTAGTTGCTACTATTGAATTATCTTTATTAAAGAATAATTAATTTTTACATCACTTGGGAGTATTAGTTTGCTTGTTTTTAAATCATTTTTTTTGTAGTTATTGTGCACAAAAACCTGAAAGTTGAAAACAAAATCCTTTAAATAATGTTTAAATTATTAAGTATGTGTTTTTTGCTGTGTGTTTTTTAGGCACTGGTTAATTTTCCATGAAGTATACATATTTTTGTACTGTCTCATTACTTTTAGGTAATCTGATGTATCTATTGTTTTATTCACTAAGCAAGTAGAGATCATTACTTACTTTATGAAATTTGACTGAATTTTGTATCATTTGTTAAGTATGTCTTGATGTGCTGTTATTAGTTGATTCTGCATCTGTCTAACTATTGGTTCATTATTTGTGTCTTTCCGGGTTATTCATTGGCTCTGTGTGTTTGATTCTGATTACTTCTAGTTAATTTTAAACTTTATGTTCCACTTATTAATTGATTCTCTGTGTTTTACTGGTTACTAGTTGATTCTGTGAGTTTGTAATTATTCTTTAATTATCTGGATGTTTGTACTAATATTTAGATGAGACAAGAACTAGAACGGATTAAACGAAAACTAGAAACTGAACTGAATGACGTAAAAGAACAGCTCAATGAAAAGAAATTACAAGTGGAAGAACTACAAAACCAGCTGGCTAAACGTGAAGAGGAATTGAATCAAACTCTTGTCAAGTACTAAAACTCAAGTTTTGTACAACTGTTTAACTGTAAAAATTTATGAAAGTTTTAATTTAATATATGTATTTTGAATATTTTTGTATCAAATAATAAACCATTATCAACATCGATTTATTTATTTTCTCAGGTAGTAAGCTAGTGATGGAAATCTTGCAAATCTAGTTGAGCTTAAGTTGTTAAACTATCTTTTAATAACTGTTTAAATTTATAATGACAACTTCACACTCTCCATACTTCTAATGTTCTATAAATGTGTAATTCAAAACAGCTCATGACATACTGAGACATTTCTGTTTTTCACTAAGAGTTTTATTTTGTAAGTGCAATTTTTATTCCTTATAATTATTTCTCAGATATATTTGGATTTTTTTTTTTCATTTCTATCTTCTATTTTTTGAAAAGCAATATTTTTTAATATTTAGTAATTCTCATTAGAGTTTCAAATGAAGAGATAACTATTGGTTAACATAATTTAATTTATTTTTCTAATAAATTTTTGTCTGTGTAAATGACTGAATGAACCTATTGTTAGATAAATATCTACATATAATTTACTGGTTGAAAAAGGATATTTGCCTTACCTTATTGAGGTATTGTGTTTCAAAAAGTATAAATAATTTTCTACAACTTGTGCATTAATGGAAGGAGCTAAAATTTTTTTAAAGGTGTGATGAGGAAGCAGCAGCTAAAGTTCAGGCTCAGAAGTCACTGCGAGAGATTGAAAGTCAACTGGCTGAGGTTCAAGAAGACTTAGAGTCTGAGAAAACATCCAGAATGAAAGCTGAAAAACAGAAACGGGACTTGAATGAGGTAAGAATACTGAGAGTCTGTGTACTATATCCCTCAGAGAAACGACCCCCCCCCCACACACACTACTCTACTACTACGTACTCGTACGTACTACCTACGTATTACGTAGTTACGTTACGTTACGTTACTACGTAACTAA